ATATTGTTTTTATTATTTCGCAGGGGGTTATGTATAAGTACACTGAAATTTGGAGGTTACATTCCCTTTCCCAAGGTTATATTACCTTTTCCTCTGGAGCCTGGATGCATTATAAAATTTCATCTCAACCCAGCACTACAATCACTTTCCGTCAATCAGTGCTGATGTCAAGTTGCACAATTTTTATCCGTGGAGTATTTAAATAGCAGTGCTTTGGGTTTAAATGGACTCAAAACAGTCACAACAAGAGAGAATCAATGTGATGTGGTGTATAAATCACCAAGACGCTGGGAGATGGTACTGGGGCAATTCCTTATGGAAAATGACCACACTCTGAAACTCAGTTTCTCCCCTCTGTAAAGATGGGACTCCTGATCTCTCTAGCACAGTGTTTTGTGAAAACGAAAAGAAACACACCCACTTCCATGTCTTAAAGAAATATGCACTTCCTCCCTCCTGCTTTTGATTTTTACCTTCTTTGAAGCACAAGCCAGAGATTAGACTTGTGTTGATTTTAATTGTTTTTCTTTTTTTCACTCTGAACCCATTCAATATGTTGGGCGTGTAACCAAGATCTGTCCAGTTTTACAGAGATTGGAAGGACTTTAGCAGGAGGCAGAGCCCCTCTCTTGGAGATGTAAAACTAATGACATTGTCTCCATGTGAATACAGGGAGCTGAGCTGGTGTGCTGTTTCCTCTCCCTACGCTTTCTTTCCCCTGCTAAATACAGCCTCCTAGGAGAGTCAAGGACGAGGGTGGAAAAGGAGGGGAATGCAAAGAGATACCACACCTACTAAGTACCTACTATCCAGCAGCCTCCTGCAAGGCACTGTATTTAAATTATGACACATTTTCCCTAGAAAAGCCCCTTTCAGATAGAAGTGTTGAATCTTATTCTATAGACAAAACTCCTGACAAGCAAAGAGAACAAAAACTGCTCTGGATGATGCACTGTGTAAATAACAGTGATCTCAGGTCCCATGTGACATCATTCTGACCTCTTTGGCAAAGCCTTCTCCTCTCACATGAAGACCTAAACATTTTTTAATGATCGCATTTATCCCAGTGAATTTGCACCTACATATACTATACCTTGATTCTTCTTTTTGTTCCCAATCTCTTCCCATCCCTTCTACCCTCCTTCCTCTCCCTATTTACAAAAGTTTTGTTTCTCTTTCTTCCCTTCCTTTCTCTGTTTTAAAAATCCCTTTTCCCTTTCTTCCCTCCCCCTACCCTTCTCTTGTTCCCCTTCCTACTTCCCAATTTCTATCCTCCATTTTTCTCCTTATCTTCCCTTTGAGTTTCTCACACTGGAGAAAAAAATGTGATATTTAAACTTATGTGCCTGATTTGAGATCTTAACATTTTGAAAACACTGAGTACGACCAAGATCAGTTCTTGATTTCCAGATATACATATACTTGATCACCTGGCTTTCCTTTCTGTTTTCCTGATCTCTGATCCAATAAAATAGCTACATTTTCAAACCTGATATTGCATTTCTTTTATAAATCTCGCAGACACTCTTTTCTGCTTGTCTTCCCTGTAAACCCAAAACTCTGCTTTGAAATAAAGGTTCTTACTTTTTTTTTTTTTTTTCCAATACCGGGAATCGAACTCACAACATTGCGCTTGCCAGGCAGGTGCTGTGCTGCTGAGCTAAATCCCCAGCCCCTAGGTTATTACTTTTAAAAAAGCAATCCAAAATCAGTGTATGGAAGTGGGGGACAGTGAGTTTTTGCAATTGCAGTGTATCAGAGATTCTAAAGATCATTCCATCCAATCACACTAGTTAGTAGAGGAAGAAAACTGCTCACCCACTATCATCACCTTCGTCTAAACACTAGTCATGTCCTTCCTGAGCCACATAATTCCTGTTAACTTTGAAGATGCATCTGCCCTTAATGCTTTCCATCTCTTATTTTATAATGTGCCTGAGGGGTCATGTAAATCTCTAACCACCATTCATTGGCTTGGCTTTGCTGTGAAGATACAGCCTAACATCCTTCCCATGGTTTTTGGTGACCACTCCACCTTCTGCTTTAACCATAGTTAACTTCTCTGCTGTCTACACCCTGTAGTGTTTTTTGTTTCAGTTGCACGACAGTGCTGTTTGATCGTCTTTTGTGGGGTGATGCACCTGCTGCTCCCCCTGCTTAAACACATCACCTAGTTTTCTCATTGGTGACTCTGTCTCAACAAAGGTAAGTGGCCTCTTGAAGGTCACAGGGAAAATGGTACTTGAACTTACTTCCCTCCAATTGCCAGTTCGTGCCTCTGGACAGCATTACTAGTTTTCATCTCTAAGTTCATTCTTTTAGAGTTTTAAGCATTTACTTTAAAAAAAAAAAGCAAAACTCCATGGACTGAAGGGTGAAGGTGCTATCCTTTTAGATTCTGCTTGTCAGCCCTGGAAATCAAGAAGTGGACAAACTTAGCATGCTGGCATAACATGATAGAGTGCTCCTCATGCTAAGTTTTTAAAATTAATATGATATTTTTTGGTTAGAAAACTTCAAAAACTTGGATGATAACTACAAATAGATATAAATCCTGATCATTTGTGCCTGCTTTGAAGTGAGAAAGGAGTCTTTTGACATTAGACTGATTAAGGAACTAAATCTAGTTAACTCTCCATACTGTGTGTGTGTGTGTGTGAGTGTGTGAGTGTGTGTAAGAGGGGAGAAGATCCTGTAACTAACTTTCATCTTCTAAGAGGAAGCTCTTGGCCCCATGACTTTCTGTCTTTGCAGAGAGGAGAACAAAAACCTGTTAATATTCTATGTCTTAATCTTTCTATTTGGGAAATAGCCTCTTTTCATTATCCTCTTCTGTAACTTTTGTGTCAATCTTTGCAGTGAACCTAATATAACTGCATAAAATACTTTTAAATCACATATCTAACCCTGAAAATAGTTGTCTGGAGGAATTTAGCAATGAGTCTCTCTATATATGTTTATATGAATATATA